CCCGGCGAGGAACAAGCAAAAGAAGCACGTCGGGAGGACGTGAAGCATTTCGATCAGTCATCTTGGGATGAGAAGTAGACGACGATGTCGGAGCCGTAGCTTTCTGCAGGAAACAAAATGGGGAACCTTTTCTTTATTCTTTTTACTATCCGACTTGGGCGCAAGGTCGTGCAAACTTGGCATTTTATCCACTGTTATTACACATATTCCTGGGAATCGGGATGGGAGATTCCCTTTCATGCCACGGACCATGCGAGGGCACACAACAACAACAACAACCACACAGTTTTAGCTGATTTTTAATTGTACGAGTAGCCTTACAAGGCGAGATACCACGGGAGGAGGGCGGCGGCGGCGGCGGCAGGTTAGGAGCGGCGGAAAAGGAAGCTAGGAGGGCGGCTCAGTTGTAACCTACCCTTTCACAGCCGGATTCAAGAAATCTGATGAATAATCGAGACTTGAAGTTTCAAAAAAAATCTGATTTCCACATTTTGCTCACAACATGACATGTATAACATGAATGATAAGCGCGAGGAGCCAGACTCATGTGGAGGGAGATCTGAATCATTCATCATCGTAAGCGCGTCTCAGGGTTATAAGAGATAGAATAAAGATATTACTGCTTCACTTGTGGCAATAGGTACATGACAAATCTTGCCAGCAAGTGATCACCGACTGAACGAACTCGGTGAGCAATCGAAGGAGGGGGAGCCTGCTTCAACCGGGGGAGGGGGGGCGTGTTAGTGGATTGCAAGTTTGCTTCTTCGCCCTTTCTTCGATCTCGGAGGCGCGGGTAAAAGTGTGATAAGCGGGAGCGGGAATCTCGGGGTGTTTAATTTTCTGGCGAAATGTTTGATGTGAGAAGTGACCAGAGCTACTTTTTTTTACTACCTGAGGTACGACAACGTTGTCAACGTCAGGGTCTCCCGTACCACGTAGTGTGTGTGTGTGTGTGTGTGTGTGTGTGTGTGTGGCCGCCGAAGACCTTACCTACCTACCTTACCGTCCTCTACCCTTCCGGACAACTCTCAGCTTACCTCTGAACGCCCCGGGGACAACGCCACAAACAGATGTCGGATTCGGTCCTGGCGTCAGTCGAGGGCAGGGTCTGGAAGGGGACGAGACGGGCAGGGGGATTCTTCATGGAGCTCATGGGGCTGGGCTCTTTGTATTGTGTTATTCTCGGTACTTGATCTACCTTTGTTGATCGCCAGACCGCTTCTCTTCTCCTCTCAACTGGCATGTTGATGCCGAGAAATCGGTTTCGATTCAGGTGGACAGGGTCCCTCCTATTCACCGCTTTGTCTCCAGGCCGGGTGGCCAGACGAAGAGCATCAGATCGAATAATACAAGGGGCCTTTTCCCCCGATATCCTCAAGTCACAGGGATTTCATGTGGAACATTGAAGAAGAAGTACAGTGACAAAAGAAAGTCCGGGATAGGATGGGATGGGATGGGGATGGGATCTTCAAGATGCCCGGCTCAACCGGGACACAGAGATCGATCCAACTCTTTTATTTTTCCATTCGCAACCTTGGCATTCTTTCTGACATAAGTGCCGCCGAACTGCGTATTCCAACTTGTTTGCCGTGCGGAGTAAGGAACCTCCCTGTAGGGGAGGGTGGTGTACTGCAGATTTAGAAATAGGCAGCCCGTGTGCGCTTATTGTTGTTCGCAGACGGGAAGGCGAGGAGGGATGGACCTTGGGACTTAAAGATCCCCCGGGCCCAGAGATGCGAGTGCCGTGGTAGAGGTGAAGTAGATCGCATTTCCAGAGAGAGGAAGAGAGTGGTAGAGGAGACACAGGTTACAAGGCCTCTCCCTGTTTTGCGTTTTGGTGATGTGGGCTTGAGCTTTTTGTCTCCCACCCAAGGAACGGGGTGTGTGGGTAAATGAATGGATGGATATGTAAGGATGGATGGGGGGTTTGGATACGGCTCGTTGCCGCGCGGTTCTCGGGAGCCGATGAGATTCCAGATTTTGTGCTTCATGTATACTATTTCCAACCCTTGGATCAACTTGTTATTATAAGATGACGCATGAGAAGAAAAGGATAAAAAGAGGTCAAGGTCCAGGGTGATCTCGCAAACGTGCGCCAGAAAGGGTGACGGGAAGAGAATTGGGGAAAGCGGATGGGGGGGAATACGGATAGGATCTGAATCTCGGCAGGGTAAAGAAAGAAAGAAAAGTGTCACTTGTCATGGTTTCTGATCTGATCTGATGTATGTACAACCCAAGGAAAAAAAACTTGGCAAACCCACGCCGCATCAGAGTTGGATTTGACATGACATGATATCTTTTAGATTCCCTCTCCCCCACCGCACTACCCCCCTCATCCATTCATCGGCATAGCATAATGCCTGGTTCTCCGATGTTGCACGAGAATACACAAACACACGTTGTGTAGAAAGTATCAGCAGGTATACACTTGCTCGTCTGGTCGTCAGCAGTTGCGATCCAAGGAAGAACCAAACTTCGAGACATAGACGCCCCCTCCCCATCTGATCGGATCGGGGGGGATGTAAGCGCTGGTTCAGGTACCTACCTGAAGGCGGGGGGGCTTTAGGTAGAACATCATATCATGTATATTTCCTTTCTAGGGTGCGTATTGAGAGAGTTCTGATTGGATAGACTTCGCAAGGCGGAAAGCGCAAGCTGGCGAGGCACTGGCAAGGCACTGGCAAGGCGACCGCATATCGCTGGTTTTTTCATTCGGGAGTACAGTACTCCGTAAAGCTGATCTCAAATGAAAAAAAAAAAAACCCAAAAAAACCAACGCATTTCGTGATTTCTGGTGACACAAAGGGAAATTGGAGAAGAGGGGGAGCAGGGCTGTGTCTATCTATCCGTACATGCACTATCGCGATGTATAACGACGTGGTATCAATCTATATGGACGGCAGCTATACCGTGCAGTCGCGCCGTCGCCGATTCCGCCGCGTGCAACGTGGGCAAGGTTAAGCAGGCTGGCAGGGTACGGTATACCATTGATGGGGTTGGCAAAGAATAGAGGCACAGAGAGAGAGTCAGAGGAGACCAACAGCATGTGGCCAGTACCTTATGGCTGCTGTAACAAGAGCAGAAGAAAAAAGGTTACAACTATCCGTACAATACTCTGTACGCTCTGTACTTGGGTAGCGTGAAAGAGGGGGGCCCTAGATCGCAGAGACGGGTAGTCTGCTTGTTCATATCGGTGTTCGTGGGACGTCGTACGCGGATGAAGGGTAAACTTGCCTTCTCGTTGCTTGGTCTCTGTGCCACTGCCATCCTCTTGTGCCATGTCAGATCCTTCCCCTCTACCCGTCCCGTACAAGAACCAGAGCTCGTTGTTTATCCCGCGCCGTTTTCTCCCCCTTGCCTATTCGACGGAACAAAAAAAAAAAAAGCAGTACACAAGAAAGTATGGGGTGTGCGTGTGTGGGTGTCACTAAAAGTTGCGACTTCAGCATTACACAAGAAACAGAAACTCACCACCACCACCACCTCCTCCAACAAAAGAATCAGAAGGGTTGCTGTAAAATTAGGTAGTCTACGATGCATCGGCCGTAACTTACCTTTACGGAGCGAGCTTGGCCTGGCACTGGAACTGGGCCTGCGTTGTCGGTGCTGTACGTGCGGTGCGTCGTCGTACAAACCAGCATTACAGACATCATTTTGATGTCCAGGACATGAGAGCGAGCAATGCGAGCAATGCCAATGCGATTGCAGGTTGGGGTTTGAGGGGTGAAGGAGAGGGGTGCATCTTACCGACGTCGTAAGGTAAGGTAAAAAAGTACGGATAAAACAGGGGGATAGATGAGAGGGGGAGGTGTGGCAGCAACAAAACTGACAGACAAGCGCCCCGTAAACCACCCATTCGACTTTGGAGGTTCTGGTTGTTTCTCTCGAACCTCCAACCACCCCGGCTAGGCACGCCCTTCTCTGCCTTGCTCTCTGCGGCTAGAGAGAAGTCTTCTTTTGCTTTTCCTCTCTCCCTAGCCTTTAATTCGGGGCGGACGGCGTGCGGGCGGCGGTGGCTTGTTCAATTCGCGATGCCCGCCGCTGCTGACTTTGTGGTATGTGAGCTGTCGCAACTGGTGATGTGTTCGTTGCGCCCATCTTTCTTGTTTTTCTCTTCAATTCCCTTTCGTCTCGTGCATCTTCCCGTAAATCGTTACGATTTGCTTTCCTGTCTCAACCTCTCTGCCACTGCCGCCGTTCGCCGCCCCCTCTTCTTCCTTCCCCTTGCGGCCTTGCCCTTCTCCCGGCGATGAAGGGGGCGTGTCGTTCTTTTCCATGGCTTCTAGCGCACGGGAGTGGACGGAGGTGATGGATTATAGCTCGCCCCCTCACGCTGGGGCTCTGCTGTATCCGTACTTGCGCAGTAAAAAAGAAGCTGAATGACCACCCTTCCCCTGCTGTGGCCGCCTGCCTGCCGCAGTGTGTTGTATTCTCCAGGTTGATTCGAAAGAATCGACCGCCCGCAGAAGAACTGTCAATAACAGGGACGATCAGAACGCTGCTTGGCCCTGTCCCCGGAAAGGTCCCCTACATTCGGCCGGGGGGCGCTTGGCATGTGCTAAACCAACCACACGGCGGGCGTTGGATATTTTGACGGGTTCCCACCCATGAACCCCCCCCCCCATGGTGCCCTGTACAGACGAGGGTTCAGCTTCCTTGGGACGACGACGAGGATCTCATTGCCGTGGTTCCCTAGCTGGCGGGATAGCTGCGATCATGCCGGAGGGAGGTTCGACAACCAAAAAAAGGCTGACAAGCGGGGAGACATGGACCTTCCGTTCCGCACATTAGTCAAGTAAATGTTTCCCCCTTCTTCCAGTGTCCATGCGGAACTTCAATGGAAGGTTGGAAAAGGGACCTTGTGTTGGGCTTGGCAGCCGTGCCCAGATGCCAAGTTCTGGGTTTCCGTAGCAAATTCCAGAGGGCAGTGAAAGGATAAGTATGGGCATGGTTCGAGATGCGGTCCATGTTGCATCGCGACGGGGCGTTCCAGAGAACCGAGAAAAAGTCTATCTGGAAGGATTCTGCGTGGTGTGCGTGCCATTGACCGTCACTTGCGGCTAGGCGCGCTGAGCGCGAAAGGGGAGAAACTCGTCACATTTTTCCTCCATCACCGCCCCGGGGAATACTTCGCCGCGTGCCTTTGTCTGGGTCCCGTCCTGCAGTGGATGCCGATGCCACAGATCATAGATTGCCATCAGTCTATGGATCTTGTTTCGACAAAAAGGGATTTTTATGGGGAGGCTCGAGAGCTGTTTTGGACTTTGGTTGCATTTCCCTCGAGGCGAGGTTGCGAGTCACATTCCTGGTCTTCATGGAATGATTTTGACTTTGACGGAAGGCAAAGATGTGTTTGGGGCTTGCCGGTATCTGGACGTTGGAAAATTTGAAGGAGGCTTTGGTGGTATTCTGGTGGATGCCGTGAACTTTCGAGACCCAAAAAGCATGAGAAGCGTATCCGTACCAAGTATTTCGTCGATTCGAAGACGGCCGGAACGAAAGTAAAAAAAGGCATGGTGGTGTAGCAGACCGCATTGCATTCCGCAGCACAAGTTCGTCAGGACGTTGCATGTTCTTCTGCTTGCGGCATCGTAACGTGTCTCGTTCCGAGAACGAAAGGCCCGCCTGAAGTGGGCTCGTGCATGACATACGGGAGACTCGGTGTGCACCGCATGTACAACGTTGGCAGACATCGGCTCCGGGCTGGCTGGTCTGGCATGGAAGAGGAATGGCGGCGCTCCAAGGTCCAAGGTGGCGCGTCTCTGCGTCTTGTCCATGCGCCCGCGCGGCGCAGACGAACCCTTCCGCCGCAGCTCCAGGCACCCTACATGCATCGATGGACCGACGCATGGGTACGGTGCAAGAAAGTGAGTTTTCTCATCGCCCTTTCAATAGTCTTCCGGCCCAATCCAAGCGCACATCCATGTGGGCAGACAAGTGGTCATCCGTCCCTAGGCTACCTTGGCTGGACCGGCTGATCCTTCTCCAAGACGACGAGGGGGAAACAACATGGCAAAAGGTTGGCCATGGTGCTACCGACCGCGCATGGCTGTTGTCACTGTACATTGTTTGACAGAGTGTAGGGCTGTACAACGGCATCAGAGTCAAAAGCTGCAAGCAGGCGCATCTGCATCTATTCGAGATCTCTGTTTCGCGCTGTGCGAGCTTCGCGGGAGCATAATAAGGGGGGGGACAGGCGATGCCATCGTGTTGCGTGGCTTCGTGTTGAGTCCTGGCCAGGCCAACGCCGCCAGCTGGGCATGGGGAGTGCTGATCTGAAAGTACTTGGAGTCTTGACCGATGAGGGGCTGGTGGATAGGTTTGATGACGGGGTTCGTGAGCTGCGAGAATGTCTAGGGAGTACTCCGTATGGGTGATGATGATGTTGAGGACGACGCAGGTTCGTGAGGATCGAGATGGGTCCAAGTGGGCTTCGACAAGGGTCCAGCTCACGGTGCAAGACCTCGTGGCAGACTTGAGGTCAGTGCCATGGCTCATGGGAGCAGACTCTCCTTTGCAGCATTCCAAGAGTGAGACGGCCCATTTAAGCAAGCTGTGCGGTTTTGACGGTTAGCGCCCGACCTCCGACTTCCATGTCTTGTTCATTGGGCTCGGCTTGGACAACGCGGAGACCACGCTGAAGGTTTCAGACTCGGTGGCTTGAAGGCTGGACATGAGTGAATCTCGCTTGAGTAAGGGGGCGTTGGTCCGGGAAGGAGATATGATCGATCCCAGATACAGATGCCGAAGGGCTAAGACGATCAAAGTGGTATTGGTCGAAGTCTGTCGACAGGAGATGAAGTCTGATAGCCGCGGGGGGACTATTCGGCGCCGTCGAACGGGCGTTCGAGTCATTCCAGTGCGTAATACGGAGTAGGGCCGCGTTGCATGGGGTGTTCTGTGTCGCTAATGTGGTTGCGGACGTGCTCCTCATCTCGGCCGATCTCTGGAGGAATTGCATCGCACATTTTGAGTTTGGTAGCCGAGGCCTAGGGCGAAGTTGAGGCAGGGGAGAATATCTTGCCATCTTGCATAAAGAGTGGACGTGACAGGCCACTAGGCGGCTGACGAGGAAACGCAGTATTTCCGGTCGTGGAGAAACAAGGCGGTCAACATGGCCAGTGCCATTGTCAATCTGCAGTTGGCGTGGTGTTTGTACTCATGGTTTCATTCTGAATAGTCCCGCATGGCGTGGCAGAGCTCAGAAGAGCAGAACAAACTAGGCGTGGCAGCGAGATGAGACAAGACCAGACCGTCATGTCTCGTTTTGGTGAAGCCCGAACGTGCCTCAGTAGGTAACTCGTAGCTCGGGTCGGGTTTCCCTGGAACAACGACCATGACGGAGTCAAGGGACACGAGGCGCTGCTTGATGGGAGCACATACGCCATTTCTCCCGAGCACAACATCTCACAAGACGACGGTTCTTGGATATAGCGCATCCGGGACGTCGATGTGGACCTGTGGTGGTTGCGCTGGATCTGAGTCCATCTGCCGGGTTGGATTGTGCTCAGATGCTGGCCGACAATTAGACCGAAGTTCTGTTCAAAGATGAGGAACAAGACCTTGACCAAATTGAGTGATAGCAGCTTGGGCATCCCACCTCTGCCGTCGGACGAGCTGAGTTGACTTCGCACCTAGTCATATTACGGTATGCTTTACGTTGCTTTTCCTTTGGTGCCCGTAGCCGCAGTGATCGCTCATCAATGATCAGAGACCTCCATGCATATGAGATCTTGTCAGTGACGATCAGGCGCAGATCGAGGAATGGCAGGCAGAAGAACTCCCGCCCGCATTTCGCAGTCGCTGCTTGGCTCGGCTCGGGTTCCTTCATTTGTCTGCGGCTTGGCTGGGCTATTTTCATCCCACCCAAGCCGGCAAATAGACTGTTATCCGTCATCTGGACGTGATCTGAGATGCCCAGATGAAAAAGTTGGACTCCCATGCACAATAATACTGTACATTGTACGGAGTACCATAGCAGAGGATGGGCCGTTACGAACAACCTTGTGCGCCGGCCGATGGTGGATGGTACATCTGGTGAGAATCAGGGTAGCATCCCTGAAAACAGCGACCTTGTCGTATGGCGCCGGCGCCGACCCGAAACCATGGTTGTCCCTGCTGAAGAGCGTGACAGTGGGTGAGTGGGAATAAACAGATAGCAGCCCCGACGATAGTTATCCGGACCAATCTCCATGAAAGGTCTGGGTCGAACGTAATTGCAGAATGGCTGTGTGGATTTGAATTGCGCTGTTCTTGGAGGGTATACCGAAAGCCCTTTGAACTCGGCCGAAGGGGGAGTGTGGTCAGAAGTTGAGGCAGTGAGGACGTGTCAAAGTGAAAATATGGCTGTATGGATGCTGGTAACTGCGTACGGAGTATACTATGGTTAAGGGACGGCGACAGCGGGATTGAGGTGTGTGAGGAAATTGAGGAACATTGAGGAACATTGAGGAACATTGAGGAACATGGACCCCAAAAAATCAGATCAACAGGGTTAGCAGCTCGATCGCGGAAGCTCTTGGAAAATTCCCGGCGCTATTTTGGGCGGGCTAACTGATCGGGTCGATGTGACCTCGGACGGGGGGGGGTGTGGGAGTTTCTGGGAGACACAGGAGCGGTACGCGGCGGTACGCGGCGGTACTTGCTGCCAGAAGGTACGGAAATTCACAGTGGGATGATTGTGGAAAGAAGGTCGGGCTGGGACTTCCCTGGACGAGATTACCTAAGTGGGCGATAGCTGACCCACATCGGACCCCGGCGGCTCCCCGGATGCGATCGCAGATTTGCGTCGATTTGATTGCGATTCACTTTGGGCGGGAAAAACGGGGTGGATCCTCCCATGGCAGGCATCCCTCCACTCACAGCCCGTTGTCTACCACGCACCTACCACGTATTCCGTACCTTCCACACACCACAGTGACCACTGACCACAACGCGCCTTCCACACATACCACAAAGTCACCACACCTGGCAAGAGAGAAACACAACAGGATGGAGCGAAGGAAGGACCACGCTGCAAAATGCCTCAGAACGTCCCTTCCTTACCTTCACCTAACTTACCGTGCTTACCTCGTACCTTAATTCTGTACTCCGTACGGATACTTCGTTCCAAATCCTAAGGTTCAAGGTTGGGATGCCACCTCATCCTTCAACAGCAGCCCTGGTCTTGACCTGGCTGTCTCTCCAGCTGCCAGACTAAGGTACATCCGCGAAATGTTAGTCCCATTTTCGCATCTCACGACTCGTGTGTGGCGTGATTTTTCCAACTCCCGTCATCGCCAACGTCTTAGCGGGCTTCATCTCTTCCATGCTTTAGCAACAGCCCAGGCTTTCAAGCCATGGCTTCCAAGTTCCGAGCGATGCATTGCTTTTCACTCATAGGGCCTACCCTACAAGTTACCCGTCACGTCTGTTGCAAAACCCACATACCTTATCATCTGCCTTTCTGTCGCTTGCTCAAACCAAGTTAAGATAGTTGACCCATCACACCTAGCCAATCGTGCTCGGGCATCCCGTGCTTGCTGGATCGTGGGGTAAGCTTTGTCGACTCAGATCCTCAAGTCGCACCATTCTTGAGCACCTACTACGTACACTGTGAACTTTCTATCTCTCGCAACTGTAAGAGTCACACTTGTGACTTCACCGATGTTGCCGCTACCTATTGCAGGGTCTGAAACTCATATTGTTCTGGAACCAAGTCTTGACGAGCAATCTACCCATTGCGGATTGGCCGGCCCCGTCATGATCTCCTGGTCTCCAGCCAACCTGTGCGGATACTAGTGAGCTATTGAATTATTGAACGTTGTCGCCCACCCCTTCACTCCTCACTCGGGCACTTGATGGATGATCGATAAAGTCTGCAGACCTTCCGTACCTACTTAGGCAGGCTTGTATCTGCAATGTACCTGTCGACTAAGTCTCCATGCCATGCGAGATCAGGCACTATGCTCCACCTCGGTCAGAGCTGCCCCTAACCAATGACGTCCAATAACGCGGCCCTTTCTCTGCCGATGAACACGAGGAAGGAGAAACCTGAGCTCCACTCTGGGCTCAAGGCAGAGGTTTAAGGTACATTGCCCGTACCTGGTTGCCCGTACCTGGTTGCCCGTACCTGGTTAGGTCACAGTCTCATGTTCATTCTGTCTCCGCGTCCGCAGCCTCCACTCACAACCCAACCGGGCCAACCCTCTTCCCGCCTGCTGACCGACATGGAAGGAGCAACAAATGACATTGGATGTTCCCAGACAACCTGGAAGACTGGGAGTTCAGAAGCACCTCAGGTCCCTCTTTTCTTTCTGTGCCGACCGCAACTGCAAGATCGGCCCCTCACCTGAGGTGACAGTGGAGCTCTCCAAAGCGAGCGCGACCCGATCTTTGGGTTCGTATCGTGCATATTGCCTGTCAACCATCTGACCGACTGTTTAGGATTCCAGGATCATTGCCATCGCTTCATTCTCACTCGCTCTCGTGTCCAACGTCGTCTCCGACTCCCCTCCCTCCACCTCCTCCCAACGACAAGTTACAATCCATCGAAAATGCCAGGGTCATTATCCAATCTCTCTAGCTTCTTCCGCTGGCCCCATACACTCCGCTTATAGTCTGCGTCCGCCCGAGAACTTCGCACACGTCAGAGCGTTCTTTTTACACCCCTCGGGAGTCTTGTTCGGGGCACACAAAGACATTGAGAAATGCTCGGAGTTACTGAGGTCGATCTCAATGACGGCAGTTGCTGCAGAGCGGGATGGAAATGGAAAGCAACGCCAACAACCAGAGCGATATCTACGCCTAATCTATACACTTCACTTTCCCATCTGACACCAAAGCATTTTGGGAAATCACTTCGTCGCCCGGCCTGGTCTAGCCCAAGCCATACACCAAGACAATGTCCGTTGCCCGTTGATCTCTGCTATGGCGCAAAGCTCCGTGCCTTTTCCCCGCCACGTGGGTTCCCCAAGCCTCGAACGCAGATAAGCTATGCTACTGAGATCCTTGGATCTGGGCCGGGCCCATTTTCTCTCCCTGATCCATACCGATACCCAGCCGCAGTACCTCATCGCCGTGCGGTGATGCCGTGCGGCACAATGTACACAGTACGAGACCTCAGGGCTCCCCTCCCCTATCGTTCCCAGCTGCCAGGCCCCAGCTGGCCACGGATTCCTTGCTACTGGCCGCGGATGGCGTTCCTCTCTGCTGGGTGTAGAACAGGGACACAACAACGACAACGGGCAGACAATAGGAGAACAACGTCCCCCTCCCCCTTCAAACATGCTGACTCGGACCACATGGGACCGGATAGAGATAGAGTAAATGCCATGCTGCAGCCCAGTTCCCTGGCCGCTACCTGCTCTAGCCTTTGGACCTTGCCTGGTCTGTATAAACGGCACCACCATTGTCCATATTCGACTTGGCGTTCAAACCTTCGCGCTTCCCCATGGACGACATCGTACGATTCTATATGGATTTGAGCCTTTTCCCTTCGCTTCGCCATGCTTTGTGGACGAGATCCCTCACCTAGTCCACCGATTTGCTCCGGTTTCCCACGCTCCATTCCGCATGGTCACCGGGTCCAGATCTGGTTGGATCTCATCAAACGATCTGACACCCGTGTCTGCGCAAGGGTGCGTTTCCATCCGTCTCTGGCCGCGTTACCGCCCAACCGGCTCGCCAATCTCCAAGCATCAACTTGTCACATCTGACGGCGTGTGTATCGACCTCGTACCGTGCGCCAATGGTCTTGGTGGGCATCATCGCAGCCGACCTTTGGTGGCCCGTAACAAGTCCACAATACCATTCCTACGGCCGTTCGCCATGCCTGCCCGCTGCCGCTGCCAAACATCCACAGCACATGGCGATCCAACAGCCAATACGAATATTCAAAGTCAGCTAGTGGTCGCAACATCGCCTCGCGTTGCTGAACCAGTCCCAAATTGCTCACAATCCCGTGCGCAAGAAACTAGATCCTGCCTCGTCAATAGCGTGGTCCGTAAAGACCTCGCATCGCACGTCCAGCCCAGCCTGCTACGTCATGATGGTCCAGCAATCGAACCATGGCGCCTCGCATCGATCAAGTCCGCTTGGGGCTGCCACCTCCAGCCCGCCTCAGCCTGCCCACACGACTCCCACGCGACATGTCAGGGTGGTGGCCTTTCCGAACGCAGCGACATGGCCATACCAAAAGCAAGGCTGTCGTGAAAGCGCCGCCTTCTCTCCCTGCCTCATCAAATGCCGTGGCGGCGACGCTATCGGTATAGGAACGTAAGGAAATGAGGCACAGTTGGGTTCTCAAGTTCAGGACTGTACTTCCATGCATGACCGTTCAGCCTCCGTCTCATTCGCTCAAAGACTCTTCCAACCTAGTAAGGGGTCAAGGACAGCGATGGCTTCGATCTGCGGTCCCAAGCCTAGACGATGCGGTCCGCTAGTCCTGCCACATCACTCGGCAGAGCTTAAACCGCCTAGCTGAACTGCACAGTTGCACACGATCTCTCCACGAGGGCTCCAAGTGACAGGTCGTGGCTTGGCTCTGGTTTGAAGATGATGCCCGAACCCCCCCCCCCCCCCTGGATTCCCTTCAGCTTCTTGACGCTGTGCTGGGGAAAGATGCATCGTGCCAGCACACGTCGCTGCCGGTGTGCTGTGTCTGTTGTCTCAAAACACGGGGTTGGCATGGTTCGATCTGGAGAAACGGGCAGCCGAGAGTATATCAAACCAAACACAGACAGCTGCCTGCCCCAAGTGGCAACGTGGCTGGCCATCTACGGAGGAATGTCGTCTCGAGATCACCTCAAATTTGCCGGCGAAATGGGCGGGCAACCAAAGGGGATCGCCCGCTTTCGAACCAGCCGGCTCCAAATCGTCAACGCCATAGCGTCCTGTCATTGAACAGACTTCGTTGCATGCCATGGCCAATCCTCCCCAAACCGAATTGCCGGTGCAACTATTCCCGCCACAGAATCGCACTTGTTTGGCGTGCGCCATGGTCGAGATCCAAGACACGACCTGGCGGTTCAGCAAGCTCATCCAGTTCAACTGGTCTAGAGCGCGCTGTGGCTCGCGCCTTCTCGAGAAAACATCACACGAACCACCCCGTGTCGATTTCACTTTCGGGTTTGGCGTTTGGCTTGCTAACAGGGCAAGCAAGCAAGTCAGTCTACGACACGCCTCTCCACACACCCACCCCCCCTTTTAGTTCCCAGATTACCGGCTTCCCGGGTCATCCCTTCCCTGGAAACTGGAAACGGGAGATTCCATCAGCATGCGCCATTCCAATTTCTCCATCATGAACTTACGGCCGGTCCCAGCTTTCCGGAACATTACCATGCGGCGTGGAAGCCAAGGGCAGTGGAATTGCCGCGCAGCCTCGAGTCAAGAGGCTACAGAAAAGTGAATTCGTCATGTGGAAGCCCGATGACTGTCTCAGTTTCGAGACGCCTCGGGAGTGTAATGGCACGTTTGCGCAGACACTTCATTTTCCAATGGATCGAGAAGAATACCGCCACGGGTTCCAAGTTACTTTGAGAATCCCTGGCTTCCTACTAGTCTAGCCCTTCGCAAAAGGGAGACAACCATTGCTCCGTTGGAGAAAGACCGGAAGTGCGCCAGGTTTCCGCTCTCACGGGAGCTGTAATTTCGACGCCTTCAGTCAAAGCTAGGTAAGTCAGCCTGATGATGTGCTTGCGTTGGGCTGGGGACTGGTGGCCTGTCACTCGATCCAAGATCGTGGACCACCTCAGATTCACCTGGGGCTTGAATCTTGGATCGACGACACAGGATCAGATTGAGACATGTTCGCGACCAGCTACGGATTCGGCTTAATCCACATTGACATTGACATTGGTTTTTGAGTCCACGCCTGCGGCTGACGTCGGCGTGGCCCTCTCTCTCCCCTTTTCCTACTCACATACCGAATACGTCATGAGTGAACTTGCCATTGATGTCTTGATACATGCTTTTGAGTCTATGAGTTCATTACGTGTAGGAGAATCCTTTCTTCCTTCACCCCATGGCCTAAGGGTTCTCGCCTTCCTACTCTTTGCCTTTTGGGACCCAGTGCCTCGGTCGTGATGATGTCTCCATGTCTCCATAACGCTAGTAGTCAAACTCGCCCTACGTACCTAATGTACGGGTACGGCGTCTAAGCCTGTTCAGAATGCTTCCTCTTCCTCGCGGAGACCTCCGGTTGCTGCTGTTCACCGCCGCAGCCCCGGCGGAAATTCCCGAGCAACTTCGGCAGGCCGTGAATATCCAACCCCGCGAACCCGGCCCCGGCCGTCTCGCGCTCGCCAATGGCGACGACGGCGGCAATAATGTCCTTTTGCACCTCCTCGGACACGACGCTGTCGTGCGCGTAGCCCGGGTGGACGTCGATGAGGTTGCGGAGCCAGCGGGCGGCGGTGTCGAGTTGGCCCGAGGCGCGCTGGCTGATGAGGCGGAGGTAGGTGTCGAGTTCGCAGCGGGTTTGGACGTCGACGTTTACGCTGTCGAGGTAGGATTCTACGAGGGGGATCAGGCCTGGGAACGCGACGCCGTCCGGGTCGGAGGAGGACATGGTGTCCGGGTGGCTGCCGTTGATGATGTCGTTGACTGTCATTTCGGCGTATTCGTCTTCGACGGGGCCGACGGGGGTTGGGGGCCGGCTGGGGACTGCTGAGCCTGGGCGGGAGCCTGGTCGGCTCGAGGTGGTGGCGGTGTCTTCGCCGTTCTGGCCCTGGGTGAAGTTGTTGTTGACGCGGACTTGGCGGCTGGGGAAAGGGTTTCTGCGGAAGAAGAACTTTTCCCTGAGGACTGCGTCGACGGCGTGTGCGCGCTCCATGTTCTCGTCGACTTTGGTGATGGGGATGTAAAAGTTGAGGTCGAATGAGAGGATGGCGCGGGTGACGAGGACCATGAAGACGCTGAAGGCCGCGTTTTCGAAATCGGTGAGCTGGATCTCCATGGGGCGGAACTCGACGCGCCAGCCGATGGAGTTGTCTGCGGGCGGGGGTTTGAAGCGCATGTGTTGCCAGTTTGTGGACTGGAGGTTCTCAAAGTGGTCCGTCTTGGAGAGGTCGAGCTCCTGGAGGTCTTCTTGGAAGACGACGATGGGGTCGCGGATGAAGAGGTGGGCAAAGTGGGTGGCGAGGCGGTCGTCCATGCCGCCGTCCATGAGTTTGGATTTGATGGCGGTGTCGATGACGAGGTTTGGGTCGAGGTATTCTCGGCGGAGGCGCGGGTCTGTGGAGATGTAGGTTGAGTTTGAGGCGTACCGGGATTTGGGGATGCGCCAGCGGTCGTTTTGAAGGGGCTGGAGATGTTGTTAGCTTTTCTTTACACTAGGGTGTCTTGATATGTGCTTATATATGTGCAGGTATTCGTGATGTGAGATGAGAAGAGGGAGTGAAAGTGAGGAAAGTGTGTGCGAGTTGAGTTGTCCAGGTTGTGCTTGTCTGTGATATCTCACCTTTTCTCCGAGTTCCTCAGGGGTTCTGCAGTCCACGGCCCGGCTGATTTGGTTCCACCTCACATCGGTGTTGGCCAGGAACCCCTTATACACGGGCGTGGCAGCCGTCAGGGCGAGCATGATGGGCCCCAGCGGGCTGAGCTGGTCGTACATCTTGCGGCCCTCGGTGATGTTCTTGGCCTGGAAAGTGATTTGCAGACAGCAGCTGCCCATGCCGAACGCCATGGCGTCCATGTGGATGTAGTTATCCGGCGCCGCGCCGTTGCGGACGTCGTCGTCCTCGGGCCAGTTGTGGAGGTCGCGGTCGACGGTGGGGTCCTTCCAGGGGTTGGGCGTGTTGGTGTCGTGGAAGACGGGGACGTTGACCTGGACTTTGCGGCCGCGGCGCCAGCGGATGTTGGCGGCGAGGGTGGGGAAGCGGATGTGCGGGTTGGCGATCTCGTCGGGGACGAACTGGGAGCGGAGTTTGGGGCCCGAGGGCGGGTAGTAGGGCTCCGTGAAGTCGCCCGGGCAGCCGATGCGGGGGAAGGTTGTGAGGGTGATGGGGTACTCGTTGCTGTGCATGTGGTCCTTTGCGATCTTGCGGCGGAGCTTCATGTCGGGTTCGACGTCGAGGAGTTCCTTGAAGCCGATGCCCCAAGGTTTGCCGGGGGTGGCTTCGAGCATGAAGCGGCCGAATTCCGGGTGGAAGACGGGGAGGGTTACTGATCTGTGTTTGAGGTTAACCTTACCCGCAAGCTCTTCGTCTGTCCATTATGAATTGTGTGACGGATCGGCTCATATGGCGGGGCGTTGACGGATGAGACAGAGGGATAGAGGGGGGACATACGATTGTTCCCTGGCGACTTCCTGGAGCTCTGGTACGCAACCTCCCTCTTTGGCGAGATCCGGGCTTTCGGCCAGCGCCGTAAGAATCTCGGCTTGTCTGAGAGACAGACGGACCTTGGGCTCATCCTTTGAGTAGGTCACGACCAAGTACTCGACCTTTAGTGAACATCGTCAGCCTTCGGGCTCTCGTCTCTTGCAGTGAGTGAATGATGCCATGAGAGGATGATACGTCAGTCCTCCCGGTGTGAGGACAGAGCATCGTATCTCACAACAGTTTTCACATACCTCATCTCCCCAGAGCATAGCATCACGCTCTTTGCTCTTGGCCTTATTCCATATCTCTAGGAGTTGCTAATCCCACCCAAAAAAGACTCAGATCAGCAACACTTTCATGACCCCGAGGACCAATGACAGCCTCGAGTGAAGTCGTTTCATAGCGAGAGAAAGAGGCGCTCGAACCTTGATACCCCACTCGCGGACCTGGTCAGCACTTTTCTTGGCCTCTGGCCAGTCAAGAGGGGTTCCTAGTGCTCTACATTCAAAGCGTTAGCAACTCTGCACTGTGGACTACATGGACTGAGAATGGGGAGTGTGTGTGAGGTAAAAACTTGCAGGAGACCCATGGTTCCGTTGATATGTCTGCGGCTTTGCTTGTGGTATGTTTGGGCGAGGAGGTGCGGCTACGGCCGGGTTCAGCCGGTGATCGGCGTTTTGGACGATGACGGAGTTATGAAATAAAACGGCCCGAGAAAAAGTAGGAGATTCCGCGCGCCCGCGGATGGCAAAGTGCGACGAAGAAAAAAAAAGTCCGATATTAGAGTAGTTGTTGTAATATCAGCCGGAGAGCATCTACTGTAAAACCACTCCCTACAGCTCTATGAGTGTTGAGACAAAGACGTTGCCCGGTATGGAGGGGTTGGTTTTCTGATAAGACGTCAGACCAGGCTGATTGTCGTTTATTTTTTTTTCTGACAGGCTCACGATGCAAGGATCCAGGGCGGAAAACAAGGCGGAACTGTTCGAAGCGGGATGGCGGCGCCTCGCAAAAGGTGGGAACGTATTTTCTTCAATGGTTGTTTTCTCTCTTGCGATTGCGCAATGGTCTCGGCAGCCGAATGGGAAGCCCTGGTCTTTCTGTACGGATAGTCCAATTGGTAAGGTGGTTGGTGGTCAACTTGGGTCGTAGGCGCAGGCAAGGCAAGGTAGATTGCGGCTCAGCCCGATAGGCGGCGGGGTTGGTCTGAGTTGCCCAAAAGAGTATCCGTAACTGCGGTTAAGTACCCAATCACAGACAGGTCGCTTCAAATCACGTCAACAAAATTGGAAAAGAGGCGAATGGGATTGGGTGGTGGAGGGTGGGAAAGTGAAGGAAAAAGGTTATGGTCTGGAATTTTGGCCTTCGGGAAAATAAGGTATGGTAAAAGCGCTGCGGAAGGGCGCGAGCAATGTCCAGTTGTTTTGCGGCTTCGGTGGGGTGGTTTGTCAGTTTTTTTCTCTTCGTTCTCTAGCGTTGTGAGACTTTTTTGCGTCGTTGCGCCGACGATGGACGATGGAGGGGTAGAGGAACGGAGGGGTTGATTAGAAATCACATGCGTTGCTTAGTTGGATGTTTGGGGTGCATGTCATGTTTTGATTTTTTGTCCTCCCCGGCGCGCCGTTTTCTTCGGTTCTTGCTTTCCTATCTGAGCCCATCCATCGTACGTGGGGTTTTGGTAAATTGTCCCCCGGAATGACCGAGTCGGAATATGTGCGATAGCCGCGATGGGCACTTGAATTAACATGGAGAAGTCTCGGTGGTTGTCCGGCGTCCTGGGGAAATGGACGTCTCGAAACGCTGCAGATGTTGAATTGCATGCTGACATAACTTCGTTCTTTGGCCAACTCTCCAAAAACGCGATTTCCTCGGGTGGCTGGTTTGTTGTTGTAGGCGCCCATCGGCCCATGAGTAAGGTCCGGGATTGAAGAAGTCCCTTTCAACAAGTGGAGATGCAGGTGTGGGGGGGCAGCAAGGTGTTGAAGAACAGAGAGAAATAATTAGGTCAAACCCAAGGTTATCCGCCATATTTAGGTACTACATAGAGTCTTGGGAAAGATATAGCAGGGCATCGACATGCGAGTATATCTCATTCGCGTGGGTTAACTTGACCCAAAGCTCTCGGCTTGCCGCCCGAAAGGCTGGCGGGTTCAACTTCGGCTTCGGGCCCGGTTCGGAAGGCCAAACCCGGGCAAGACTTTCCTCCAGCAGACTCTGATAGACCGAGACTGAGCGAAATGTCTACATATCCTTGTTCTCGTGTCGACATGGACTTGCCCAACGTTTATACATAGCGATGTCAGGTTCACATTTCCGAATCTCACATGATTAAGTAAGATAGTTTAGGAGTTCGCTGATTAGTGGTTGATTTTTCCTCTCCTTTTTGGAGTATAGTACAAACTTCCCAAGAAAAATGATGTGTAAAGGAAAGATGGAGGAACAGTTCGCGAGAGCAATAAGCAGATCTGCCGAACCCAAGCCGTACCCCGGTTCCAGTCCCAATTTCTCTGTCTTAGAGAAAATGCGAGAGCTCGTTCCGTATATGCAGTTTCTTCCCAGCGCCCTCTTCGTCTCTTCGAATCTCAATGAACCGTCAAACTCGAATAGCTCTCTTTTCGCCAGCCAGACATTGCGCCTCGACATCGGTCTGTCCTTGTGATAGTCGGTATTGCTTCCGTCTCCCATGCTAGAAAGGGCCTCTTCGGCCGCCAGCAAAGACTCCTAACGCTGGTAAGGGTGGAATCCCCGGTTGCTGCTCCGTCCGCCGCCGCGGTAGTTAGCGCCGGGTCTGCCCGCGTTCTTGGGTCCAGTAGGAGCGTTGGCAGGCGGGGCATGCGCTGGATCGGGTGATCCCTGGTGGGAGCCACCGCTGTGAGAGCCACCGCGGTGACCGCCTCTGAAACCTCCCCGGCCGCCCTGGTTCGGTTGGGGAACGTCGTCGTACATGCCCTCCCAAGATGTCGGAGCACCGCCACCGCCGCCCATGGCGTATGCACCAGCCTGGTTGTACTGGTCGCGGGGAGCACCTCCACCGCCGCTGCTGCCTACCCGGCGCGGTCCTTGTCCGCCGCCGGGTTGCTGTGGCAGCTGCTGGCCTCCCTGAGACGGGTCGAACATCTGCTGCTGGGGACTGAAGCTGCCGCTAGGTCCAGAAGGGGGGCCGCCCTGCTGGCCCATCTGCTGCTGCATCTGTTGTTGCATCTGTTGTTGCATCTGCTGCATCTGTTGCATCATTTGAGGCGTCATCTGCTGCATCATGCCTTGCTGTCCGTTGCCGCCTCCACCACGACCCATCATCTGGTTCTGCATCTGCTGCATCTGCTGCATTTGCATCATCTGCTGCATCATGGCCGGGTTCATGGGGCCCATGCCTCGGCTCATAGCCATCTGTTGCTGCATCATGGCGAAATACTGTTGCATGCGTTGGAAGTACTGTGCCATGACTTGCGGCGTCATGCCACCTGCGGCACCCATCTGGCCGCCTCCCATTCCGCCTTGTCCACCCTGGGCACCGTCTTCACCCTTCCTGAATTTCCCTCCGCGTCGCGCGGCTTCTTCTTCTTCGCGAAGATTGCCACGCGGCTGAGCCTTCTTGACCTCAATCGGCTTGCCGTGAATCTCCAGACTAGTGCTGAGGCATGCATCGACGCCGGCCTCGCTTTCAAATGTGACGAAACCGAAACCGCGAGGGCGACCGGTGTCCTTGTCCATCATCAGGGTTGCGTCGACCACACGGCCGAACTGGGCAAAATAGTCCTTGAACTCTTGATCGGTCGTATCTTGACTGACACCACCGACGAAGATCTTGCTGGTCTTTTCCTGCTCGTCGCGAGGAATCGCTCGCTTGGGGTCAATCTGGTAGTTATTAGCGACCAAGTCGGATTGTAGTTGGCTCAGTGGTATCTTACGATCTTGCCATCCAAAAAGTGTTCCTTGACCATAACAATGTTCACTGTCTTGGCGTCCTTGAACGTCAGGAAGCCAAAGCCTCTTGATCGTCCGGTGCTGCTGTCTCTCATGACGGTGCACTCAACAACCTCTCCGAATTGAGAGAAGTACTCCCTCAGAGATTCTAGCAGCTATTAGAAAATTGCACGACGGTAGCGGATACAGCGAAGACTTACGATCAGTCGTCTCCCAGTTGAGGCCACCAATAAACATCTTGCTGCAGACATGTAATGGTTAGTCAGTGAATCAACTAAGGGTTGCGAATTTCGAAGACAAGAAATCATTGCGCGAGTGTGCTGGTTCTAGGAAGCATTATCCACAGATCGTGACATGGGCTAGTGGCCAATGAGAGTTCCCGTTGAATGGCTGCAACAGAGGAGGCATCCTTGAAACCATGAGTTGACTGAGTCGTCTTTCGAATGGCGATGGGCTGGCTGCCTTCACCTTTTCCCCCTCTTAGAAACACAGGCTGACTAGCTTGTAATAGCCTGAGATCGCATTTCTTGGCGTTGATATTGTGAAATTTTGATTGAAGCTCGGTATAACATGCTTCTTGCTTCTTGACGGGTACCCCCTCGTGGCCAACAGCAGATTCAGACGGTAATTTGTTGAAGAATCATCAAAGTGACGTGCATGGGTTGGTTTCCTTCGGCATCGGCACCTTCGTAGAAAGGCCAAAGATTTCAGATTCCAGCCGCAGCCACAGTGGTTGTTGAGGACGAGCAGCGCTAGCCAGCCACAAAAACTCTCTCACGTCTGGGGAGAATTGCGGAGCGGATAGCCTGGTCATTGTCGAATGTTTCGTGTCTTTTGCTATCGTCAAGTCTCTGCTAGCTCTAGCTTCGAGCGCTATCCGCTGCTAATCTTGCTACAGCAGCCAAAGACCGCAGGATATTCTCTCTGCGACTGGGCTATAGAAGGCGCACGAGGGTGCTCCTGATCTGACTGACTGATGATTGACTATCGTCGGCATATCTCGGTGATCTCAGGCTGCTTTTCCAGCTGACTTTTTCGCGGTACCTCTTTATGGCTTCTCTTTCTTGCTTTTCTTCAAGCTTCTCATGTCTTCTCTGAAATTTTCCTTGGCCTGCTTGATGGCCCTGAAGAATGTTTCCCAAGACACGGCTGACCGACGTCTTGTGTCGATGCCCTCTCTTGTCCATCCAAGTTCCCTAGACCAAGCAGGCCCGATACGAGATACCATGGGGCCACTGATGCCCGAGTTCCCTCAGACCGCAGCAAAAGTGCTGCAGGTTAATCCAGTCGCAGGTGGTTCCCAACTATGGGTGCATGGGGATGGTTTGTGTAGCAAGTGCAAAAATCACATAATTGGCAAATAAAACTTACCCGTCTTCCTTGGCACTCGGGTTCTTGGCCGTGCTTGTCGAGTACGTGGGTTCTTCCTGCTTGTTGCCGGCAAACCCATTTGAGGGTGGCGCATAACCGGTGCTTCCACCACCGCCGCCGCCGCCGCCATCACCACCGAGGTTGAAGTCTACTTCATCATCGTCATCCTCCTCTTCGTACCTCATTTGGTCATCGCCACCACCGCCGCCATAATCCGGTTCAGCCTGGGGAGGTGGTTCGGCGTGCGTCTCGACGCTCTGTTGAGGAACAGCGACTGGGGCGGGTGCGGGCGCGGGCGCGGGTTGCTGGGCGGCAGCTGGCTTCGCTGGGGTATCATCGTCGTAGCTGTGGCACGTATCAGCAAATCTTGATGGTAGCAGACGACACTTGTAGTTACTCACAGATCAGCGAAGAGGTCTTCCTCGAAGTTCTCGGGCTCGGTCATCCTGGCGAGTGCTCAATAATTGTCGAGGATATTCGGATGGGCGAGTCGCTGCAGACAAGGCATGCAGAGAAAGGAAATGGGAAGTAAAGAACGTGTTATGTTGTTGCGGAGAAGTTGATGGGACAAGGTCATCGTGTACGCAGCAGCGCTTGTTTGGATATTTCTTAGGCAAGAGCCTGAGTGAAAGAGGAGGAAGGTGGAGCTAAGACTGTGGCGGAGCCAATGGGCGTGCTCAATCCAATCAGAGCTACAATAACTGGGGGAAGGAGGGAAAAGGTCCAAGCATCGGCAAAGCTCGTGCGCGTTCTGCAATACGTGTTGGGAAGCGCCAACTCCGCAAGGTCGGTATCCGCACTCTGTATCCGTACCAGAGACTGGAGCCTCACGTGACCGGACAACAAAACTGGCTAGTTGCGGTCAGGTATGTAAGGTAATGAGATTGGGAGAGTCTGGTATCCGTATCCGTTCATGCAAGGTACCGCAATGTTTAGACCTACCATTGAGAAATAATTGAAGACATCCTCTGCAAGAGTTACTCTCTAGAGAAATAGTTTCTCGTGGTTTGTTTGGGGTTCCCCAGATTCCTTCCCAGCCGGTCAATAGGCTAGAAGAAGCATCTGCGCTACCATTTAAACTTGCACCTCGGCCGCCACAACGACGCAGTTGAAACCGCATCCTCCAGCCACAGTGACCTCCTCCCCCCACTCCACTTCAACTGCTGCTCAAAGCGGCGTGCGGTACACTAATGTGAGGCAAGGGTCCGGCCACTGGTCACTTGTTCGGAGCTCAGGCGACTCGTCTGGCGCATCTCAACACCAAGACACACACACAATGACACGGTCTCAATAGAGAAGCATCACCATGTTCTCCTCTTCAGGGAGTGGGAAGAAACCCTCGCAACAGGTATGCTCTCCCAAACCCCTGCCAGGGCCTGTCACCGCATGCTAATTGCCCCGCAGCAGCAGGAAATGGTCCAAGTCGGTGGGTTTCGTCATACCTCTTTAACTCGCGCTGCTCGTTGCTGCATAGCCTCGGCTCATGAGACTAAGCTCGGAAATTCTTGGCTAACTTTGATATCTTGTTGATGGCGCAGACCGCTCAGAGTACGTTGCCTTGGCAGCATCGCCGACGCAGTTCGGAACTGACTTGGGGTAGTTCTGCATCGCCGTTTTGGAAGCCGCCCCCACGCGAGAACGCATCGAAAAGAACCGGTCGCGACCCAAACCTAGTTGTCGGAGCAGCCTACTCTCATGCCGATATCCTCAAGTTTGATTCACTGTGCGAACCCTTACCATCGTGGAGAGTCGTACCAGCACTTCCGGCTAACTTGGAATCAGCAACCTATCCAGTTCCTCGTCCAGACCGAAGACACCTCCTTCCTCACACTCTGCCAAAGGCCGGCCTAGCGATGCCTCTCCCCCCTCGCGCCCACAGTCGGGCTTGTCGTCTCCTCCGATCAAAAGTTACATCAATTTCCTTTCCAACACCAACGATGACTGGAAAGCCGACGAGGACGAGGAAGACATGATGGGGTACGAGGACGATGACGGCGATGACTTTGGCTTGCCGAGCCTGTCCAATATGAAGCGACGAACGCGCAAGAAAGCTGCGCAAAACAGGTCAGACCCAAACGGCGGTCTATCACCTTTGAACGACTCGTTCGGTTTAGGGTTACACACAAGGAGATACTCGAATAGTGCAGACATCGCCATCGAACGGCCTGCGCCAACCTATCCCATGCCGAAAAAGAGCGAGGGCAAGATCTTGCGTCCACAATATAAAGAAATTTTGAGGGGTAAGCGATGTCGCGTGATGTTGGAATGGACCGTGCTGACTGCGACAGACCCGGCGAACGCATTGCACCTAATTGACCATCCAGTTATACCCGACGACGCAACGCCAAAAGAGATTGACGCTGCAAATTCACGAATTACCCGTATCAACAAGTTCAAGAAGCTCTTGCAGGCGTCGACGATACCGCTGCAGGACCTTCGGCAACTAGCTTGGTCCGGTGTCCCCCAGGAGGTTCGTGCTATGACATGGCAACTCCTGCTGAGTTACCTACCAACAAACAGCGAGAGGAGAGTCGCAACTCTAGAGAGGAAACGGAAGGAGTATCTCGATGGCGTTCGGCAGGCTTTCGACCGCGGTAGCAGTGGGGGAAGCGGCACTACCACCACGGCACCCGGGAAAGCGAGAGGACTAGACGAGGCAATCTGGCACCAGATCAGTATCGACGTTCCAAGAACGAACCCTCACATCGAACTTTACTCGTACGAAGCGACTCAAAGATCTCTGGAACGAATCCTCTACCTCTGGGCAGTGCGACACCCCGCCAGCGGCTACGTCCAGGGCATCAATGACTTGGTAACGCCTTTTTGGCAGGTGTTTTTGAGCACATATGTTGCAGACGCCGATATTGAATCGGGCATGGACCCTGGTCAGCTGCCAAAATCGGTCCTCGATGCTGTAGAAGCAGATTCGTTCTGGTGTTTGACAAAGTTACTTGACGGTATACAAGACCACTACATTGTGGCTCAGCCAGGCATCCAGAGGCAGGTTGCCGCCCTCCGCGATCTCACTGCAAGGATTGATGCAGGGCTGGCGAAGCACCTTGAAAAGGAGCACGTCGAGTTCATACAATTCAGTTTCCGATGGATGAACTGTCTCTTGATGAGAGAGATAAGTGTAAGGAATACGATAAGGATGTGGGACACGTACTTGGTGAGAACAATCGTCAGCATTATGTTATTGGGCATCGATCTAACCATTTGCAGGCCGAAGAACAAGGCTTTTCGGAATTTCACTTATACGTGTGCGCGGCTTTCCTGGTCAAGTGGTCGGATAAGCTCGTCAAGATGGATTTTCAGGAAATAATGATGTTTTTGCAAAGCTTGCCAACAAAGTCTTGGACGGAGAAGGACATTGAGCTGTTACTGAGCGAGGCTTTCATCTGGCAGAGCCTGTTCAAGGGCTCCTCGGCACACTTGAGAGGACAGCCGAGTCGCACGCCTTCGGCAAACATGCAGCTGTAGTTCCTTCTCCAACCAGATGTTTGCGGTTCAAGATAAAAACTGGGCATCTTTGAGAGGAAACAGGAGGTGGGAGTGTTATTCAGGCGTCCGGCAATTGCCAAGGCAAACATGTAATCAAGGCATTGGCAGCGACACCCTGCTGGCCTGTCCCAGAATTGAACCATGGGATTAATGCGACGTACAGTGCTAATCACAGTGATCAAGCTTACCACGCACCCGCGATTGTGATTGGGGCTTAACTCGTTTTACGTGCTGAACGGAAGCTATCCCTGCAGCTTCGTTCCCCAATCAACGCGCCTTCCCCAGAGCTCGCGCGTCACACCACGGACTGACAAAGGCTGCCAATTCTCTTTCCTCAATTGCCTTTTTTACCTCGTTCATCCCGTTTCCCATCTTCCACAAAACTTCGTGCTCTTCCATCCTTCCAATTATCATCAAGCAATCCCGATTAAACCCCCACGATGGCTGATGCACCCGAACAAGCTACGATCGCCGCCGAGGTCCCTGTCGCAGTGGCCCCCGTCGTCGAGGCCCCAGCTGTGGCAGCTGTGGAGGCTGTCGCAAACCCAGAGATCAAGCAGGATGCGCTCGCGCCGACACAACAAGACACGCCAGCCACGGTCGGTGAAGAGTCTGAGGAAGACGTCAATTCTAAGAAGGTCACCCTCGCCGACCTGACTGCCAAGGGAACCGCTCTGTACGCAAAGAAGCAGTACGAGGAAGCTACCGACTGCTTTACCAAGGCGGCGGAGCTGCAAGATGAAATCAATGGCGAAATGCAACCCGCAAACGCTGAGATTCTCTTCCTCTACGGTCGCAGTGTGTTCAAGGTTGGCCAGAGCAAGAGCGACGTCCTGGGAGGCAAGGCTGCCGGTGAGAAGAAGGCGGCGAAACCCAAGTCCAAGGCCCCGAAGAAGACTGCTGCCGAGCCCACATCGACCGATGCGCCAGCCGAGACCGAGGCGCAGAGAATAACTGAGGAGGGTGTCGTCATTGTCGCAAGTGAGGCGAGTGGAGTGAAACCCGAGGAAACTGTTGAGGAGAAAAAGCCCTTGTTCCAGTTCACTGGCGACGAAAACTTCGACGACGAATCGGACGAGGAAGAGGTAAGCTACATTCTCCTTTGGTCCCAGGCTGAACGGGTCTTGGCCTCTGTCACTGAGCCGTTTGAAGACTTGTGACCCAGATTTGTCGACGATTGTCAATTGAAGCTAACTCTTTCCCAGGCCGAGGGCGATGACGAAGAAGAAGAGGAAGAAGATGACGATCTTGCTGTGGCGTTCGGCGTGCTCGATATGGCTCGTATCCTCTACAGCAGACAGCTGGAAGAGTTGGAGAAGGTGGAGCCTAATGGCAAAGCACAAGAGCAAGTCGACGGCGAGAAGCTCAGCATCAAGCATGTCAAGGAGCGCCTTGCGGATACCCACGATCTTCTCGCCGAGATTTCCCTGGAGAATGAGAGGTAGGCGCACGCTAAGATACCCTACACCTAGGCCTCCAGCGCTAACTGAGATGTAGATACCCCGACGCCATTGAGGACTCGCGCAAGTCATTGAAGTACAAGAAGGAGCTGTACAGCGAGGATTCGGAAGTTATCGCTGAGGCACACTTCAAGCTTTCGTTGGCGCTTGAGTTCTCTTCCGTCACAACCACCCAGGAGGAGGGTGAGCAAGGAGAGAGCAAGCCTTTTGACGAGAAGCTTCGCGAGGAGGCCGCAAATGAGCTGGAAGCAGCCATCAACAGCACCAAGCTCAAGCTTCAGAATAAGGAAGTAGAACTTGCGACCATGGCATCTCCGGAAGACAACGAAGTCACGAGAGCCACGATCACCGACGTCAAGGACATGATCACGGATATGGAGCAACGCGTGAGTACTCATGCTTCGTCCTCGACGGTGTCTTTACTAACCATGTGCAGCTTGTGGAACTTCGTAAGCCGCCAATTGACGTCAACGCCGCTCTTGGTGGTGATGGCTTGGGCGGAATCCTTGGAGCAGCTCTCGGCGAATCTGCTGCCCAGACGCAAGCTCGCGTCGAGGAGGCTAAGAAGACGGCTACTGACCTCACAGGCCTCGTACGAAAGAAGGCCAAGCAGGAGCCCAAGCCTGAGGAGACTCAGGCAAATGGCGCAGAGTCCAATGGCACGAAGCGCAAGGCGGAAGAGCCTGCGGAGGCAGATGACTCATCGAAAAAGACCAAGGTCGAGGAAGTCACTCAGGCCTGAGTACCTAGCGATCATGTAACATTGGACATTGGCGAAAATGATCTCGAGGGCGGGGAATAACAGGGTTTGGGGGTTCGTTTCTCAAGGGTATTCATGGCAGAACTGTACAATAGCTAGCACTCTGGACGGCAGAGGAGAACATTTGCGCTTCACGACGGTATGCAATATGACTGGGTCGCAACTGCACTTACCATGGGTTGCATCTGACGCATCTCGTCCTCCCCCGGTGGCTGTAAATTGAGTGATGGAATGTGTCGCATGGGCGCGTAAGTCGAGGTACGGATGGAGCAGGCGCGAAAGACCCCTTACGTTTGACCGCCTCAGCCCCGCCCCCGCCAAAGAACCCCACCACCATCCAGCAACGACAATTTACCACCCTCCAAAGTCGCTCCTGAGTCACCTCGAGACAGTCACGCCGACGCAGCTGCAATCCATCCGCAGTCTCAAGGAACAAGTAAGTTGTGCTCATCTGGAAAGTTTTGTGTGGATTGTCTTTTAACGAGCATATTTTCCTGTAGTCCGCCCCGCCAATCTCCTTCTCTGCCCCACCAAAGCTACAATCATGCTCGACCTGCAAGATTTCATCAAGGAGCGCGGTGGTGACCCAGAGAAGATCCGGGACTCCCAGCGTCGTCGCCATGCACCCGTCGAGGTCGTCGACGAGGTTATCGCCCTATGGGATGGTACGAAACCTCAAAGCTACTTTGGCCTCCAGGTCCACAGCTGGATGCACATTGGCGGAAGAACAAGGTGGGCTAACACGAACCTCTCCGGAGCCGAACAGAACACCGCAAGACCCAATACTCTGCGACGCAGATCGGAAGCGAGATCAACACCGTACAGAAGGAGATTGGCATGAAGAAGAAGAACAAGGAGAACGCCGACGACCTGCTCAAGAAGAAGGAGGATCTGCAGAAGCAGAAGAAGGACAAGGAGGATGAGGCGACAGCGAAGCTTGTCACGCTCAACGCCAAGGCCAAGAGCATCGGAAACTACGTTCATGAGTCCGTCCCTATCAGCGACAACGAGGACAACAACGTCACGGAGCGCGAATGGAAGCCCGAGGCCGGGCTCGGCGCCAAGACTGAGCAGACACTTAGCCACCACCAGATTGTTACCAGACTCGCGGGCTACGACTCTGAGCGTGCTATCAAGCTTGTCGGTCACAGGGGTTACTGCTTGACCGGCTACGGACTGTTTCTGTACGTCCTGGCATAGGAGAGAAGAGAGGATAAGCTTGTGGCATGAACGGGAGAACTGACTTTGACGAACAGGAACCAGGCGCTCATTAACTACGGTCTCGAGTTCCTCTTCAACAGGGGATACACGCCCAACCAGCCTCCCTTCTTCATGAACCGCAACCAGATGGCCAAGACTGCCCAGCTTGAGCAATTCGACGAGGAGCTGTAAGGCCAGCTCTATTACCCGAGAGCGACCCTCAAGCATTCTGACAGATTCTCCAGGTACAAGGTCACGGGTGATGGCGAGGAGAAGTACCTTATTGCCACCAGCGAGCAGCCTCTCTCCGCACTTCACAGCGAGGAGTGGATCCAGGGTGGCCAGCTGCCCATCAAGTACGCCGGTTACAGCACATGTTTCCGCAAGGAGGCCGGCAAGCAGTACGTTTGAACTCTGTCTATCGGCGATGATACCCCTTCTAGAGATTCGACTGACATGGAAAATTCGAATAGCGGCAAGGAGGCATGGGGTCTGTTCCGTGTGCACCAGTTCGAGAAGATTGAGCAGTTTGTCTTCTGCAAGCCTGAGGACAGCTGGAAGCACTTTGATGAGATGATTGCTGCTTCTGAGGATTTCTACAAGAGCTTGGGTCTTCCCTATCGGTAGGCTATCTTCAAGCCCAAGTTGTGGAACACGAAAGCTGACTGCCAATCATAGGGTTGTTTCCATTGTCTCCGGTGCTCTGTAAGCGAACTTTGGAGATTGAATATTATAGAGGAATGACTAACAGATGAAGGAACAACGCCGCCGCTAAGAAGTACGATTTGGAGGCTTGGTTCCCCTTCCAGCAGGAGTACAAGGAGCTTGTGTCTTGCTCCAACTGTAAGACCAGGTTGATTTTCATGACACGGATTAGCAATATTGACTTTGACAGGCACGGACTACCAGACCCGCGAGCTCGAGGTTCGTTACGGTGTCAAGAAGGCCAAGGAGGTGAGTCCCATCCAAGAAGTTATACTAGTTTTCTTAAACCCGAGCTTTGCTGACATTTTGCCCCACAAAGGCCCCCGGTGGTGGCCGCAAGGAGTACGTCCACGCTCTCAACGCTGTAAGTCATCCCCTCTGATACTTCTTCTGGTTCCACGAATGTGTCGCTGAGACTGACCGACAATAAGACCCTCTGCGCTACCGAGCGAACCCTCTGCTGCATCATGGAGAACTACCAGACGCCCGACGGCTTCAAGGTCCCCGAGGTGCTGCGCAAGTACATCCCCGGCCAGCCCGAATTTCTGCCCTACGTCGCCGAGCTTCCCAAGGAAATCACCGTCGTTGCCGGTCAGAAGAAGAAATAGATCATGCCACTTCGTGTGATCGAGGAGGGAGATGGTGGAGAATGAAGAGAACTGACACTAAGTGTCTGGTGATGAACTCATGTCCAGACTATGATGGATATGAGGAGATCTTAACGGCGGTCGGTTAGGGGATGGATCAGTGAGACGAAACTTTGAAGATACACCCAGACAAATAAATCTGCTCTACAACGATTTCGTAAACCGTTGACGATTTTGAGAGTATCGCGTCTTGCGGTACCTTTACTGTCGCGTTGAGAAGTTGCGCGAGCTAGTATGCCGTTGCCTGGATTAAAGCAGTTGGCTTGTTGGCTTATGTATAGGTAAGTCGAAAAGGGAATTTCTCATCAATTTTACACCGGAAACCTATATCCGCTGCTGGCGGCATGTTATCCTCTCCATTTGTTCCTCTAAACCAGCACTATATTGCGCTACAACTTTGACTACAACCTCACTGGCTTTAGCTCCCGCAAGTTCGTCTTGATCCACAAGCGGGCTCTCCTTAATTCTATCCCCGGCCTGGAAATAGGAAGTCGATTGGGCCAGGGAATTAGGATCTGCCAAATAAGAGAAAACCCCACCCTTTCCGTGGTGGCCCACAACCGGCTATCTCGGTGTCGTATTGACGGATACCCATGACAATCGGACTTTGAACTCTTAAAATCACGGCATAGTTGCACAATGGATACTAGTCGGGGCAAGTTGCGCTTCAGAGTCTTTCTTAGACTGTCTATTCGTAGAGAAGCCGACTCGGCGTCTATTTGACGATGCGTCTCGTCGCCCACTTCGCCGCGGTAGCGGCTTGCTGTTTTGCTGTAACTATCTCCCAAGCAGTGCCCAAGACGTACTTTGTCGAGTTGTCCAAGGACTCGACAGAAGGACTCAGCATCAGTCCACATGATCTCGCCAGCAAGGCAGCCGAAGCGTCTATCCCGCTGCGTGTGCGATACGAGTACACCGACAAAAGCGTATTTTACGGCGTATCAGTCTCTCTAGACAGCGATTCAGACAGTGAAAAGTTGCGAGCTCTTCCGGGTGTCGAGAATGTCGTTCCCGCCCAGAGCGTGGCGCACCCCCATCGCCCGAGCAGCAACGTGAAGAGGTCTCCTTCCAGCAGCAAGACTAGCGAGCACGTCACACGCAACTATGACAGCGGTAGAGACCAATTTAGATCCTCGCGGTCTCGGAGGGCGGATGTCGACTGGAACAGTCCACACGCCATGACGGGTGTCGACCGCGTTCACGCAAAGGGCGTGCTCGGCGAGGGCGTACGCGTCGCCGTCATCGACACGGGGATCGACTATCTGCATCCGGCCCTGGGAGGATGCTTCGGAAAAGGCTGCAAGGTCGAGTTCGGCTACGACTTTGTCGGCGACGACTACGGGTTCGGCAACTCCACCCCGAACCCGGGCCCGGACCCGCGGCCGGGCTGTTTTGACAGCTTTCACGGCACCCATGTGGCGGGCATTATCGGTATGGAGGTTCCCTCCAACGCCTCCATGTTTCCTGGTCTCGTTGGCGTTGCTCCTGGGGCGACGCTGGGCATGTACCGCGTCTTTGGGGGTGATGGGAGTGCGTCGGATGATGCTATTGTTGCGGCTATGCAGAGGGCTGTTGAGGAGGGTGCCCATGTTGTGAGTATTTCGATTGGGGAGTTTGGGACCTGGTCGGGTTATCCTGGGTCGATTCTTCCTGCTGCGGTTACCGCTCTGAGAGCAAAAGGCGTAGCTGTCGTTGCTGCCGCTGGTAACTCTGGCACAAGGCATGTTCTCCATCAACTTGCCGGGCGGGGCGGATGACGCGCTTGGTGTTGCGTCGGTTGAGAACGCAAAGTTTCCAACGTATCCGATCCGTGACTCCAATGGTGCTGGGTTCCGTTACGGAGCGTTGCATCCCTTCCCGGAGGGAGAGTATCCTGTTGCGTGGGCCGGGAGAAACACGTCCACTTACAGGTTTGGCTGTTCGGCTTCCGACTATCCGTCAGCCGGTAGTCTCCAGGGGCCGATTTCCGAGTACATTATCGCCGTCAAGAGAGGGCCTTCGTGTTCGTCGACGCAGGTTCAGACGTATGCCTCTGCGGCCAACTTCACTCGTGTCATTACATACCGGGATCCCACCATCGATGATGCTTTCATCAAAGGCCACGCCGTGCCAACGCCGTCTCTTACTGCGGATGGATATATCTATCCTATGGGCAGCGTGATTGACGAGATACTTTCGAACGCGGCCAAGAGCACCGGACAGTACAAGTTGCTTGTTGAGTCCCAGACGCCTCTTCTGGTGGATCAAATAGGCGGCGGATCACCAAACAACTTTAGCAGCATGGGTAAGTTCTCCTATTTCCAAAGTCTCCCTTCTTGATGTGTTGGCTGACAGTCACACAGAACCCAACGCCGACTTCGCGTTTAAGCCCGAGATAGCTGCCCCCGGCGGAATGATTCTGGCCACTTTCCCGCTCATGGAGAACAGCGGCGGTTTTGGCATCATCAGCGGCACGTCCATGGCGACGCCTTACATATCGGGTGTATATGCTCTGATCAAGTCACAGAATCCCGACTTGTCCGTTGAAGAGATCTTTGAGCTGATGCAAACCACCGCTGCGCAAGTCAATATGGCAGACTATGATCTGATGGCGCCTGCGATTCAACAAGGAGCAGGTCTGGTTCAGGCGCACAAAGCCGTGTTTTCGGGAACAGTGGTATCCCCAGGGGAATTCAAACTGGTTGATGCCGAGGAGGCTAGTTTCACCATCGACAACCCGTCAGATACCGACGTGACATACAGCTTGTCAAACATACCTGCGGCTGGTGCAGCGCCCTTCTCAGACGGACCGAGCCGTACCGCGCAAGTCGGCTACATCCCTCAATCCTTCTCAGCCAAATTCGACTTCACAGTTGGAAGCCAGGTCACCGTCCCAGCCGGCGGCTCCGCCAACGTCTCGTTCTCAATCACTCCCCCATCATCACCAGACGCCAGCCTCGTCCCCCTCTTCTCCGGCTTCATCGGCATCTCCTCCTCCACCAACGAGACCTTTACGATCCCGTACATGGGCCCGGTCTACAACTACAGCAGCACGCCCATCGTCGGCCTAAAGAACATCACCGCAGAGCAGCGCCTCAACGCCCTGACACCGACGCGCGACCCCCTCTCCGCCCCGCAAGTCTTTGCCAACGGTGACAAGGCCGATATCGGCAACTATCGCTCCTTTCCGTTCCAGTACCCGGACTACCCTGTCGCGCTATTCACCTCGCTTCAGCCGATGCGCAAGTTCCGCTTCGATATTGTGCGCGCGAGCACAAACTTCACGCCGACGTGGTACGGCTTCGATCCCAGCGTGAAATTTGATAATCTCACCGAGACGTCGATGACGGAGAATGGTACGATTGCTGGCGTGCCTATACTCGGTTCGAATATGATTCAAAACGGGTGGCTGCCGCAGACGAGTTACCAGGCCGGATGGTCGTATAGCATTCTTGATGTTACGGCTACGAGAGGGTTGGGGTTGAAGAAGGGGTCTTATCGTATTTTGCTTCGATGGCTCAAGTTTTACAAGGATGAGGAGGATCCTGCGTCGTGGGATAGCTGGATGAGTGGTGTTGTTGATGTTTTGGAGGACATTTTTGAGCCGACTGTTCCATCGTAGAACCTGGGATCTATAAAATGGATGTGCAACTAAATGTAGAAATGCATTAATGTAATCCAAGCTTTCCATAAGCTGTCGTTTCACATAAGATACATATATGTCGAATCTATCAGGGCTCAACCTGGTCCAATATGCATATAGGATATTAGCAGCTCGCTGGGTCCATCCACTATTCTTAGAACTTGAGTTTAGGCTTGGTTGCCCCAACTCGATTCTATCGTGGATATATTGCACAGATGTATCTTAGTCTCGAGGACGTAGATGATGGAGAACATTAGACAGACTTTGCCATGTCATTCGTAGTGGAAAGCTAGCCAACGAGGATCCTCAACGTAGGTACAACTGACCAGAACGAATACCTTAGCAAGACTCATACTATAATAAGGAGGCTCATGATAAAACTAGGACAGAGAAACAAGCCAGGAACGCGAGTCTAGCTTCCCATCATCTGCCCACCCTACTCATACTCGGACCATTGCACCAACAACTGCCATATCGTGTTCCAAGTCCCCGAACTAGTAGATTGAGCCATACCAGCCCGCATCTGATTCGAAAAAGCAGCGCTCGTCACGCCCTCCTGCGTCGCATGCCATCCAAGCTGACTATTCCCATACTCGTACCCATCCGTCGTGCCAGCCACGACTTTGAAGCTCTCGATCCCCTGGTACGTGACACTCATGTAGCCCGCATGCATGGCATTAGCAAACTGCATGTCCTGCATCTGGCGAAGCGCCTTGACTTGCAGTATAGTCTGTACCCAAACCCCGTGCCGCACCCTTGAAAACTCGATCAGCGCCTCCGCATTGCCCGCCTCGCACGCCTCGGTCCACTTTTGCCGCATGCGTGGGGGGTACAGGCAGCACATCCTCTTCTCGACGACGAGGTTGTTGTTGAATTCCATTGCAAGACTAGGAGGAGGGGGCGAGCTCTCCTCGCAGAAGGTGATGTAGCACTCTGGGCAGATTGTGCAGTCGTCCCAGCCGTACCAGCGTTGGTTGTCGACGAGGTTTTCTCTGACGCAGTGCGGGACGCCGGCAAACTTGCGCACGAAGACGGAGTAGCGGGACTACACGCCAGTTTCGACGGCTTCTGCGTTGCGGTTCATGTGTTCCAGCCATCGCGGGGCGGAACGCTCGAAGCTGCAGACGTACGTCTCGCCTGCTTCTTCGCTACGGGACTGCTCGTAGAATCGATCCAGTCCGAACGGGGTGATGAAAGCGGCGTGGCACGGGGCGCAGATCCTGTAGCCGTCGCAGTCGCCGCCAGTCAAGGTGTACCAGGTGCCGTTGATGATTCCCCGGTCAGTACACGGTGGGCACGAGAGGATAACCTCTAGAGCTTGATAGAGAACGTTGACGTCCTGAAAGTCGTTGGCAGCTGTGAGGGCGACCTCAGTAGGCAAGCCGTTCATGCTGCATGTAATGGGGGTCGGCTCTGTCGTTGTATGACCCAGGGCGGCGTCCATCCAGTCCAACCCCGTGTGACTCGACACATGTGGAACAAAGTCAAAGTCCTTGTCCAGTGTTGTCAGAGCTACATGTTTCTCATAGCACTTTTCACACATCTTGAAATCTGGATACCGCTGGCCACGCAGTCGCATCCAGCGCCGCGAGGAGGGCGACACAGGCCCTTTGTCGCATTCGGGAAGCGCCATGTGCTTTGCTGCTACCTCTATCCATTCGTTCCAGCTGCTGGCCCCTGATTTGGAAAGTTTGACTATCGATCGACTTATGAAGGGGAGGCATATGTCGCAAGCCCAGATGTCGTCAGTGGCTTGAGGTGAGTCGTACGGAACAAATTTGTCACGGAACGATGTTGCTAGCACGACATCTTGATAGCAGGCCTCGCAAGATACGAAGCCGTACCGTCTATCGTCAAGTGCTTTGAACCATTTGATTCCCGCTGATCCATCGGCGCCCGAGGGGCCCTTGCAGTCCTGGACATTGAGTCGAGCTGTCATGAACTCTCGCAGACAAGTAATCTCTTTGCGCTTGAGACACTCCGGTAGAAGGAGTCTGGTGATGCGGGGAGCATTGAACCGACAACGTCCATTTGGTTCCCGGTTGTGTTTGAAAGAGTCTTCCAGGGGTGTTTGCGCAAGGCACCTCTCGTGGCAGTGTGTGCAGACGAGGAAGTTGGGGATGTCTGGTATATGATACCAGTCCGTCTCATACTCGACCTCTCGGTCTGCCGGGCACTCCCAAGCAATTGTGTCGGGCTTGCCATCTTCGGTGATGCGAGGAATGGCTCTTTTGTAGTCGTGGAAGTCGACATCGTCAAACCCCGGAGGAGTGCTCTGCGATGAAGTGGCTTCGCAAATGCTCACGTTGCCCAGTAAAATGGAAATCTGATCGACTGCACTGGTTACTGGCACCTCCTCGCGAGAAACAGGAACGGCTTTCTCGGCAATTGGGGGTTAGGGCGGTGGGTAGTCGGTGACATTGACTTCTATCACCGAGGCCAAAGGATGGATGGAATCTGCTGTAGGTCTTCCTGACTCTGGTGTATCTTGAAATGGGCGAGGAGTTACTTCCTGGACATATTGGATATGTTGCTGATTTGCAGGTTGCTGCAGTGTCGTCACTGGCGCTATTTGAGTTGCCGGTGAAACTACAGATACAGCGTGTTGCAGAACGGCAGGATTGAGACCGCTGCTTCCATGAGATGGAGCGTTGGATGACGGTATGCCAGATGAGCTTTCTTCCGGGTCATTTGGTGATGCTATAACTTGGTATAGAGAAGTGAAATATTGTTGAGTCTGCTGGCTATGCTGGTCTTGTTGGTGCGGTACCACAACTGGACTAGGAGATGATATAGGGTAGGCCTGTCCCTGAGGTGTGGTCGGGTGATAGTAGAGGGGCTGTGCTGGTTGAGTTGGCAGAGTCTCTTTCGGACCCTCATGTTGACAATAAGGCGGTTGGGCTTGGTGATATTGGTCGCCGGGTGAATGGAGGGGAGAAGGGGAAGCTGGCAAAGTGGTATACGGAGGATTGTGGTTCTGGGCGTACTGGGCTTGAGGGCTATAACTCGGCTGTGAGGGTGTCACAGCCTGTGAGACGAACTGGGTGAATTTGGCTCTAGCTTTGCTTTTGAGGCCATGGTAGGACTTGACAACCTTTTCGCTATCTGAAAACAACGAAGTCGCCTGTTGTATAGCGCCTGATAGACTAGGACTCTGGGTTGAAGGTGGTCCGTGGCTGGTGGGTGTATACGTCGCCGAGGGAGAGTATGGCTGGGCGAAGGGAGGTTGGCCATTTGAAAAGGAGTTGTAAGGAGTTGGCTCAGGTCGGTTTGTGGAACCTGGAGGGTAGTAGCTGTGACTGTTGGGAGAGCTCTGGTGGTAAGAAGGAGCTCCGTATGTGGGCTGGTACATTTGTTGAGGATGGTGTCCGCCATATTGAGGACTTTGTGCAGTTGGAGAATGCTGCAATGGCCCTTCTGGATAGCCACAAGAAGAAGAAACCGCCGTCGCTGTTGTTTCTGGCCGAGGTGGAATAGGCGGCGGCGGATTTCCAGACTGACCAGGTGGTGGTGGAAAGTATAGCTGTCTGTTGGGGTCCATGTTGACGTCGATGCTCGTTATCACGACTTGGGAATGATGGTGTTTTCATAATTCACGAACAGACATAAGAGGGCATCGTGGGAGTTTTGATATTCTTGGCGATCTGGCACCGTTACGCTAAGAAGACCAAATGTGTTGAGTGTGTGATCGCCATACTCAGCGGCAGAAGGCTCGGCATGAAGTTGTGCCACCCTGGGCGGTTTTGGAGTGAAGCTGAAAAGAAACTGCAGCACACGACACCAATCAAATGTGGCAGATGAAGCCTTGACATTACTAGTGCGAATGCAAAACTTGGAGTTGGCCCAATCATGGAGATTGAGAAATGTGAAGCTCAGAGACATTGCATTTCTGTCTCGAAAAGTCTGCCTTACGCTCCGGATATCAAATTCAAGAAAACGCCTGTCACTAGTGTCGCTTGTCATATGATTATCTAACGTTCGCTTCCTTTCCTCATCACCAGGTAGGAAGGACTCTACTCAAACTTCGTAGACCTCTTCAAATTCCTAGGCTCGTGGTGGTCAATCCAAAACAGATGATGTCCATATGTCTGTCCTTCACGTCAACAACGTTGTCCCTCACACCGAAAGGCGGCAGACTTTACCATTATGTCTCAGAATCTATCTAGGCATCAATAGCGACCACGTCCAGCTGCCTGATGAAACCCCACGCTTTCACTCCGTGTGACCGAGTCGCCCGACATCTCAAACCTCATGTCGCTCGGTTCCGAACCCTCCGCTTCGAAGGGTCGAGCACTCTCGCCATATAACTCCCGCGACGGTACGGATGTGTCTCTCTTGTAGAGATTTATCTCGTTTGTATCGCTCGCGGTAGTAGCTGCGGCTGCTTCTTCGCCTCTTCCCTTCTTGTTATTCTTCCACCGCCTCCAGAACAGGAATCCCGCTATCCCCACTACAACGAGGGTCCCGGCCGTCGCTCCGATCGCAATACCAGCCACCGCGCCTCCTGATAGCTCATCACCGCCCGGCTTTGGCGTGCTCGTTGCGCTGGATGCTCTCGTCGGGGACGAAACGGACGACAATGTCGAGGACGAAGGCGACAGCGATGATGAGGGCGACGACGCAGCGCTGCCGGTAATGTTGAAATAGTGGCACGTGGTGCCCGGATCGGTCTGTCCGGCGGGCAGGATGCGTAGGTAGTACGCGTTGCTCAGATTCGGGTCGTGCCAGTCAGGAAAGCCATTGAAGCTGACGCGCCACGTCCAGCCTTGCGGCCTATGTTCGTCCACTGCGTATCGTTCAGGTAAGAAATCGGTTTGATTTCAAAAGTCGGAACATAGATAGGGGTCTGCGTCGGATATACAATGCTTTATACAAAATTGACTTACAGAATAAGGTGGCAACTGGGTCTCTCTCAGGGGACGCTTGGATGATGAACAAGTCAATGGGCGAGTCATCAGTGCCCCATTGGAGGTCTACCATTTCGCCCAGTGCATACTGGGGGTTGTCCCGGAAGTCTCCAGTGGGACCGGCGCCTGGTGGTCGGCGGAAGACGGTCGATCCGGTGCATTTCCAATAGAGGAGGCTATAAAGAAGAACAGAGGCGATCCGCATCGTGAGAAGTGGGCTTGTCTCCGACGCTCATTAGGCTCAGGAGACAGATAGGAGAGTGCGGGATGAAGGTAGAAGGAACTAAAAGAAGAGTGAGTAGACTGAGCCAAGCACACCTGGGGGATGATTACTACATATTTGAAATGGGAATTGATATAGAGGCATGCAGAATTGATACAGAGGCATGCACCTTACAGCGGCATGCACGTTTGCCGTTGTGATTGGCTCAAAATTTTGGTATATTTCCGCAAAGGCGGTGAAGGTGGTTACAGTAACATTTCGATTACTTGTCTTACGACCTAACTGTTACGACCTAATATGTATGACCAAGTTCAGGGCCTGCCCCGTAGGACCACAGCGGCTATGGCGCGCTATATATGCAGTAGATAAAACAGGAATACTAGCATCACCCTACAGAACGGAAGAACTATAGTATAAGTTACGTAATGATAAGATAAGGATCATTCGGGATCAGAATAATCTAATACGATCTGGGGGCCAAGCGATCATTCTAGATCAGAATGATCCAGGGCGACCCAGAGGACAAAGGGTATGTTCAGAATCAGGACTTGTATATAGGATGGACTTGAGCCGGGCTCAGGGACAGACTTCCCATAGCTTCTTCAGCAATTAACTTCGTATCAGATCTTATGATCGCTTTCAGCTACCTTTACTGAGATGTTACGGCCAGCTAGTCGTAGTGAGGTATGTTTGCAGAAGTTGAGGCTGCGGAACTGGTAACAGTAATAATCGGGTGTAATAACCGGATATAATAATCGGATGTAATAATCGGATGATTATTACACGTAGTTGAATAGTCTCAAGTAGGTTATATCTATAAGGTAGGTAAGGCTTCGGTGATTAATCGTAGTCTTATCAAAGAGGTTCTTAGGGAAGATAGCTAAAAGTGATTATAAGATTTAATATAAATTTAATTATTAAAGAAGTTATAGGAAGTCTATCATAGAGCCCGGCTCGAGTCCATTCTATATATAACGTGGTTCATCAGTCAGCCGGCCGGACCAGTCAGCCGGACGTTTTTTCCCACGTCCACAACAACATCTAGTATTTCTCAACCACAACGCATTAAATCAATTATTGGTTGTCGCTATCAGAATCTCCTGATGATTCGACATCCTTGGAACAGGTTCGTGCATTATGTCCAGTCTTACCATACGTACTATAGCGTCTCCGAGTCGGCTGGGCTCTTTTTGATGGACCCCCCTCCTTATCCTCTCGAGGTGCTGGACGTTTACCTTTTTGTTTCTCTTCTAGTAAACCCTGAGATTCCTTTATATTAAGTGCCCCTCTAAGCTGTATATGGGACCTTTTAGCCCTCCGACGCTTAGCAAATGCTATATTCGTATCCTTAAGGGTACGAAGCCGATTAGTTAAAATAGTGATTGAGTGTGCCATTGCCTGCGTACCCTTTGATAATTGCTCAACTGTAGCAATAATTGGTGTCGGTGAGCTTCCTTTATGAGCAGAGATCCGGCTTTTGATAAAGTTGGACTGCGAGACGGCTTGTTGTGGGTTAGAGGGCGTTTGCGATTGCCAAGGTGGTGGTGTTGAAGGGTTGGCCATAGGAGGTGTAGGCGTCCGTAAATGCACATCAAGCTTTTTGATGACATAGTCTGGGTCCTATGGTGAAATTCCAGCGCCTTGGAAAGCAGACCTGATGTTTTCCTTATTAAAAACCTTGTTGTGGGCCTGGTGGAAGGTAATAAAGAACTCAGACTTGGTAATGTGATTGTTGGATCTCTGAGCAGTCGGCAGAAAAGGTGGATCTGGAAGGCGGTATGGGCACTTACAAACGACCCCTTACATACCACTTCTGAGAGGCCGTGGGCTCTGCCCACAACCTCCTCCTTCCACCTCAAGACGCAGCAATAATAGACCATTATTGACACTTCGTTCCAACCGTACGGTTGCCCTGCTGACGTGTATAATAACAGTGATTTATGGAGGCTCTGATAAATAGGTTGATTTTATCACCGTATACGCGTTTCAAAGGCGAATAAAGCGCAATATCCAATGGCTATAATAGATGCGACGAATATTCAGGCATACTGACCGTTACAATATTGTTCTGCTTACAGTAATCGTCAAATTCGGCCGATAAATAGCTCTCATGGCCGTCGATAATGAGCATCCTGTAGACGCCCTTAGTTCGGTTCTTAGTATGTTTGTCGAAGTGTTTAATCCAGTCAAGACCCGTCTGATTATCCGTCTATCTATTAGCAGTGGGCTTGATGACCCAGTTGCCCGGAAAACCTGATTCCGTGGTCCAACTGGCAAGGTGATATACGCCCTTAACGATTACGAACGGAGGGATATACCACCCGCCCGAATTAATACATTCAATGACTATAGCCTATTCACGGTTACCCGGCTGGACAGACTTTGCTTTACCGCATCGATCGGCGCGTATTACCACCATTGACGCGGTGATCATGCCCATCATGAAGCTAGTCTCGTCGAAATTGTATAGGTCCTCCTCTTGGATTCCATACTTGGTCATCATGTCACGTAACAACACAAACCACTTTGAAATAACCTCTAGGTCTTCTAAAAGAGCCCTTTGATAATCGTATAGACGATTAAACTTTGTTTTCAGAGCAGGCTATGAGTCCACAAACCGCCTGGCCCATCGCTTGCCAACAGGCTCGGCATTACGCGCTCGCAGCAGGAGATTGGCCATATTTTCCACACCGCCAAGGCGCAAAGGAAATCCTCTGGAATCCTGTTCAATAACATATTGGAGAAGTGTTTTCTCTTCGATCGGATCGAGTTTATGTCGTTAGGGTTGAGTTTATTCGCGTCGCGGTCGGTTATTTATTCTATCGGCTAAGGTACTCTTCGGGATACCGTAGGTCTTTGCGGCACGCAAAATGCTCAAGTTACTACCTACAGCGCATATCGATCGGATCACTTCAATCGCAAGAATGACTTTGTCTTCTTAGGTGTAGATTAGCATTATGGTTATTGAGATTTTACGCATCAAAGGTTTAAGTGGTTTGGACATAAGTGTGTTTAGAAAAAAACGTCCGGCTGACTGGTCCGGCCGGCTGACTGATGAACCACGTTATATTAAAAAGAGTATTATATAAGCCAACCTGTCTAAAAGGTATATTTATACCGTTTAATAATGTTAAACCCGTTGGCCCTTATAAATATATTAAATTAATTAAAGAGGGCCTTTACGACAGGCTCTAGGCTACTAAGAATTTATAGGTTAGAAATTATATTTAAAGGTGGGGAGGAGGATTTATTAAAGTAGGTATAATAGGAGAGTATAAATTAAAAAGATAATAGACTCGAGAGAAGGTATTATTACGAAGGTAAATATAGGGGGGTGGGGTTTCCTTAAGAACCCCACGTCTCTTATTAATAGTAGTTTTTGTCACGGTAGCAGGCAGGTTGTTTGGCAGGTGGATGCTGGGCAGGCGGATCAGACAATCTATTGCTACGGGCAGGCTCTATCCTAAGCAGGTACAGGCTCTGTTGACAAGACGTAGCTCAAGGAGCTACGTTTCTGGACATGCGCGACAGAATACAGGATGCAGAGTTTTATCCAGCCTCAGGCTTACGTAACCCGGCCACCGGGTTACTCAACACCAACCTCAAGGTTGGGGTCTAGGACAGCGGGTCTGTGACATTACCCCCCTCTTTAGGACCGAACTCCTGCGAGGTCGCTGGCACGCTCAGGTGGGACCAGGCTTAAACGGGTACCGGCGGTGATAGTTGCGGACGACTTCTTGGGCGTTCTCTAGGTGGGAGGCGGGCACCTCTTCAGGGTCATCGTAACCAGTCCACTTGACAGTATACTTTAGACGGGGGCGGCCACGGCCACGGCGGTCCCAGCGAGAGTCAAGAACCTCCTCGACTTCCCACTCCTGTAGACCATCGATTTCGACAGGCGGGGGTGGTTCGTTCGTTTGTGCGGGTAGCGGGTCGTCGGCGGCGGGGCGGAGCAGGCTAACATGAAAGACAGGGTGAATCCTCATGGACTCGGGGAGGCGGAGGCGGTAGGCGTACGGGCTAATAACTTTGTCGATCTTAAACGGACCGCAGTTCTTCCAGTCTAGTTTCTTAGTAGGGCGCAGAGTCTTGATATTCCGGGCGTCGAGCCAGACTTCTTGACCGACCTGGTATCTGGGGGCGGGACGGCGTTTCCGGTTTGCTTGTTCCTCATATCGCGAGCGGGCCATAAGCATCTCGTTGCGCAGGTGGTCGTTAATCTCTTGCATACGGGACACAAACTTCTCAGCATCTCTGGCGGCGGGCTTATCGCGGGGCAGTACTGGTTCGAAACCTAAACGCGGGTGGAAGCCATAGTTGGCGAAGAACGGCGTAACAGTAGTCGTCTCAGAAGCGGTGTTATTGGCAGAGAACTCGGCGAGCGGGAGCCAATCGGCCCAATCATCTTGCAGGTATGCTACGTATAAGCGCAGGTATTGTTCCAGAGTGGCGTTCATCCTCTCGGTCTGGCCATCAGTCTCAGGGTGGTAAGCGGTGGAAAGCAGGGCAGAGACGGACAGGCGCTTAGTCAGGTGTTTCCAGAAGTCCGATACGAACTGGGGGCCGCGGTCTGATATAACTGTGCTAGGTAAGCCGTGCAGTTTCCACACGTGCTTTACGAACAGGCGGGCGGTCTCTTCGGAGTCACAGGTTCCCTTACACGCCATGAAGTGGCGCATTTTAGATAAACGGTCGACCACGACCATAATCGCATCGTAACCGCGGCTCAAGGGCAGGTGGGTGATAAAGTCCACAGATATATCCTTCCAAGAGCGCTCAGGGACAGGCAGGGGCTTCAGCAAGCCTTGACGGGCCTGTCGATTCGGTTTAGCTCGACGGCACTGGTGGCAGTTGGCAATCCAACGTTTGGCATATCGCAACATCTAGGGCCAATAGTACTCTCGATCCAGGATTTCGTAAGTCTTGGCTATACCAGGGTGTCCAGCGATTGGGGAAGCATGGCAGTATCTCAGCAGCTCGGCCTTCAGTTCCGGTAGGTCGGGGACAAACAGTCGATTTCTATAGTATAGGTATCCTCCGCGGTCTTCGCATTCGGCAAGGGTAAGCAGGGAGTGTCGGGAGGCGCCTTCACTAAGGGCCTTCAGGACCAGGCGGGGCACGGGGTCTTCTTCGTATCCTCGGGCGAACAAGCGGGATAGTTCTTCGTTCCACTGGGGTCTAGTAGCTTCTTGAGAGCGGGACGACTGAGTCATAAAACGGACGGTCTTCTTTGGTCGGGAGCCTTGGGTCGGTGC